CGACGACCGCCATCAGCAGCCGAGCCGCAAACTGCGCACTTTTCTCTGCCTTCCTTGCTCGCTCAGCATCTTGGTTAATCGATCAATTGATTATTTATCAGGATTAATTAACCAAATTGTTACTCGCACATCTCGACCGACTTAGCAAATATTCTGAATATCTTTAGAGAATTCATTAAATGTAATATAGTTAACAAAAGGTCCAATTTTAAATGACTTTGCATTTTATATTGTTATAATTTTTACTCTAGTACTTTCACAGATTCTACATCCAGAATTAAAAAGGAAAAAAAAACAGCTAGAATAATCTCAAATATAGTTTTATTTTTGCCCAAATAAATCAACACAGATACTTGAAATTCTGTAGTTAGAAAATTTGCAAATTAATATTTAGTAATTTTGAGCCAAAATTAAATTTTAGGTCAAATTGAAAATCAAACCCAATTAATCTGTTGGACCCAACACTTGAAACTGCACAAAATTCAATCTCGGGCGGTCGTTCAACCGAACTTCAAATATGGAAAACAAACTTGTTAAATAGGCGGTATAAATTCTGCATCGCACGTTTCGTAATTATATCTCTTAGCGCACTATTGATGGAATTCGGAAAGAATTTTCAAACACAGCGAGTCTGACAGTAAGCTTTGCTTCTTCAAGTATTTTTTTTCTGATGTCAAATGCATGTTATTAAGGTTTTAATATGAACAAATAACAAAGAAAATTTATTGCTGAGTTTATTAAATTTTGACTTCTTTGGGAGAAAATGCTAGTATAAAGTGTCAATCTTTGAATTCATAAATATATCAGGACATATATGAATTTTGGATTAATTTTAGATAAAAATGTTTATGTGGACAATAAATAGGCCTAATAATTTACAAAAACATATAATTCTGTTTCATTTTTTTTAATTAAATAAAATCCGCTTCCTCGATGAAGATGAGCGACTTTATTGTTTCTGCATGATACAGAAAATCCCTGCGCAAAAGCCTCCCCGGCAGAGAATTGAATCCCGGTCTCACGATTGACAGGCGAGGACATTCTTTATCATGCGGAAACAATAAAGTTGTTCATCTTCACCAAGTAAGCCGGATTTTATTTCATCAAAAAATTAAAGTGCCAAAAGGTTCCAAAACAACGACTACAAAAAACTATAGAAACTTCATTTTCACTTTTAAAGATTTTAAATGAATTCAGAGATGTTATATTTCAAATTGGCAGCTTATTTCATGTTCTTGGGTAAAAAAAAAAAAGAAAAATCCAAAATTGACTGTTGCGAAGATAAAACCACTCGAGAAAAGATTTTGCCCGGTTTTATTTTTCTAGTGTATGTGTATATTTTTTTCTACCTCAAATTTTGTTTTGTTCATTTATAATTTTGAATATTTTGATCACGTATCTCGTGATTGCCTTGTGGTACACCAATAAACTGAATTTTTGCTACTAATGTAATATAATTCAGTAAAATATAAAATCATTGTTAAATAAATAAAAACTCTTATTTGAGAATGAAGCTTATCATTGATATGTTAGCAAGAATTGTTTTTATCAGAATAAGAATAGAAAGAATATCGTTGTCTTCAAACTATGGCCCTGTTTCACGAGCAAACGCAATGCTAACTGACTAATACTAGAGATTTATCGAGAATTTTTTTTTCATCATCTGCTGTTTTATTTTTGAAAATTATTGTGAGACATGTTATAAAGCATTACAATTTAATAAAATTTGAAAGTAAAGACGAAATATAAACCAAAAAAAGTAAATATTATGATTGAATTTTGAAAAACTTTGTTCTGTGAAAATTTAGATTTGAAACCAGCACTAACAAAATTCTTATGAAAATGTAAAAATCCTCACAACTTCAATCAATGAGACAAAATTTTCACAACTTCAGCCTAATCAAAGCATTAAATTGAAATACGTTTCGAGCAGTACTGCCAGCAGCACAGAAATTCTTATCAGCAAAATTTAAAATGCGCGATGGTAGGTCAGTTCTTGCATCCATATATACACGCAGTATGAAGCAAAATGGCTTCCAGTTCAGGTGGGCGTTGCAGTAATTGTTAATTGTAATTACGCCGTTGTTCCGCAGCAGTCGTCGCGACCTACATTACGGCGCAACGCGTTGCTCTCGGTCCGTCTGCACGCCAACCGACACCCACTTTCCTCTTCGTCCCGCAACCGTGCCCACCGCGGCATGCAATTCAGCTTCGTGCATGTAATAATAATCTCCAGTACATCGTTTGAATTTTTAAACGGCCAATTTGAATATTTTCAAAGGTCCTCTGGCCGTGAATTTATTGATTATTCAAACTTTAAAACCACAGTAAATCCGCATCAAATTGTAATGAGAGTGCTTTGGCCAGATTTTTAATATTTCATAAAAATTCTTCAATTAAATGCAACCAAAATATATTTATCGCAAAAATAAAAAAAAAATAAAATACTGGAGAAGATATCAAATTGAGCCAGGAAATATAATTTTAATTTTAATCAAACTGCATCAAAGTAAAGATTTTCATATTGAATTAATTTAATTAATTGGAAGTTGCGGAAGGGCCAGGGACGGGTATTCAATTTTCAAATTCAGAGAACGATCAGTTTTCAGAATTCGCGCCACCGTCATCGGCGTTTGTTTATTGTTTGCTGGTTCAAAGTCAAGCTAGGCAGAGGACGGTCGCGGCGGTGGCCGAGGGTCCACCGAGAGCGATCACACATCAAAACAGCAGCTCTGATTTGATGATAATTAAGCCGCGGGCAGGCGACCTCGATTCTGCTGACGAACAAGGGGCCAACATGCGGGTTCCCAGCGCAAAACTCGCGTCACGTTGGCGAACCTGCCCAATGCCAGGTTGAGAGATAAACCACTTTAAATAGTACTCTTTGATTCTGCCGCCCGCAATGTTTATGCGCCAAAACAAACTTGACTTTCGACTCGATAATTTTGATAAACAAATTTTCCAATGTTTATAACTCTTGGAATTTATATTTCTAAGTACAAAAAAAAGACATTTTTTTGTGCATAATAAAAATACTGATCTACGCAATTTGAAATCTATTTTGAACTAAAAGTTAATTTCAAGAAGACGATCAAACAAAAAATCTGTAAGCTTTGTATCTGTTTAAAATTATCTTTCATTTGTCCTCTAAAGAGACTAAATTAGATATAATGGAAGATGACCGACTAGCGTAATTTGTTGTCAGCGGTGCTTCAACCTTTGCATAACTTGTTATTCAACGATTTGAATTTTATCAGTAGCTTTTTGAAGATCTTGACAGCCCTGTTTATTATGCCCATATGTGGCCGCAAGTCGCGTTGCGAAACACAAGAGCCGCCCGGTTCAATCACAAAGCGGCCCCTTAAGACACCCGAAGAACATTCCCGGCTATTGTTTTTGCGTGAGTGGCCCAAGGGGGCGGCCTGTGCGAAATGTCTCACATTTTGTGCCAAATCGTGTACGTCTTAAAAACAGAAAAGTGCTAAGACGACCTCGAAGGTTAAGCTAAGAATAAGTAAATAAATAAATATTGAGATAAACTCAGCCTCTGTCTCTATGACATTTAAGGTTAACTCCGAGTTAATTTTGTACCCATCGTAGGCCTGAGGGAAATCACTTCACAAAACCAAAGAGCATTATTTTAATTCCTCAGCTTCTAAGGCACCGGCTCTGAGCACCGGACGCATGGGCGTCGTCAGCTCACCTGGTCGGAGGTGGAGCGAACTCCATTTTTGGCAGGAATTTTTCAATGTTTGGGTTGGTCATTTTTGCACTTGGACTAACTCGCACGACACGCACAAAATAGGGCACTTTGCGTCGCACTTGCACTGAACGCCATTTCCAATCGCACACTGACGAAGGCCGCGGACCGACTGATCCTTTGCCGGCTGCTCGCTCGCACCGGCGCCCTACCCGCTGTCGCGTCACGCAAACATCGATGCGCCCGATATTATAAATCGGAGACAGCGAAAAATTTGAGACGCACTTTTGCACGTCTCGCCTGATATTTTCTCAGATCATATAAACTACGCGAATTCCATCTTGATTGTTAGGTAATCAATCAGCGATAAGCAATAACAACAATTACAGATTAGCGATTCGTTCTTGAAATTTGAAACTTGGTTAGAATAATTTTTGATGCAATGAAAAAGTAAAGAACAATAAAACCTAAAATTGAAGTTTTAATTTCAGTGTTTTTTATTTAATAAGAATTTTAATTTAAAACTTAATAAATTCTGCCAATGACTCTGTTAATACAAAAATTACTGATTTTGCACTGCTTGAAATTTTATGATTTACTTAAATTTGATTGAAAGTTAAGAATATAAGTTTTGGCTTAAAAATATTAAAAAATTATTACTAAATTCAAAGAAATTCTAGAAAAGTGTTAAACGATTTAGAGCAAAAATTATTTAATAAAAAGATAATGCTTAAAATGTGGAGAGAAATCTATGGAACTCCTGCAATTTTACGATAATAAATATTATGGAACCGCCAAAACCCATGAGCTTCTTCTAGATGGATTTTTAACATTGAAATTGTGAAATCTTAGCACCTGCAATCTCTAAAAATAGCGCAAGGCATCTACAAACTTCAAATAATCCAAATACTCAAAACAAAACTTCTTGGTTTAACTCATGATATCAGTAACAATATAAATCTGAAAATTAATTCATTCCGATACTATTTTCTTTTCAAGGATTTTTCAAAATATCATAAGCTTTTTTTAAATTTAAAATTGGCTGCAGTAGAACCGGTTGGGCTCAGAGAGGGCAGCAACAATGTTGCCAAGGTCTTTCGCAATGGCAGTAACAATAAAAATAATTCAGCTTTGCTGTACACTCGGTCTCTCTCACAATCAGTTTTTTTTTCTTTCCACTACTTGGACTGGCGCCCGAATTGACTTCAATTAGAAGAGTGTCCCAATCAAATTCAAATTTCGCAAATTAGAACAAACTTGCACAGCAATTGAAAAATTCAAGGAAAAATAATAGACTCACGGAGCGGAAGTGGAAGATCCGGCGCTGCTCCTGCTTGGAGAACTTCCACCGTCGTCATCAAGCAGAGGTTCCGCGGGCGGCGGCGACGACGACGCCGTCGTAGACGGCGTGCCCGGTTCCTCCATGGTCATAACGACGTCACCTTTCGGAGACGAAGTTCCTCCACCTGCCAGCAAAAAATTTTATATTAATTATAATGGTTTGAAGGTTTATGCAGCGTTATTAGGGCACCGCCCTAATTTGTATCCGCCTCAATATTCAGATTAATTTATTAAATTTTTTTCAAGTTTAATTGAAATTTCACAGAAAAAGGTTCATGTCATTTTTTTTTTTTTTTTAATTTGAATAAACTTTGAAACACAAAAAACGTTTTGATATTTGAAAAATAATCAAATTTTTCTGCAACTTTGTATGACAATTTTAGTAAAATCTGAGGCCAGTTTTTGATAACCTTTGACAAGATTGGAATTTAATATAAATTTTATAATTCAGCAATGTTACAGCATCTGTTATATAACAAAAATAAAATAGGAAAAAATAATTGGCATCATGCATCGATCTTTATTTTCTGAAGAGCCTTCTCAAGGGCGGCACCATTATAACTGATTACATAAATAATGAGGCGAAATTTTTTCCAAGAGGTTGTGCAGCTGCAAAACAACATGACATATTTGGAGCATAAAAATTCTTGGGCACGAGCGCGGCTTCTTCAAATGTAGTGACAACATAGAAAGGTGGCCGATCTAGCATAATTTTATTTTTTCAAGTTCTCCAGATCGATAACTCGGAGGAGCATGACGCAATCTGCAGATCGGGTGTATTTTTGAGACGTGAATCATTTCAAAACAAGCAGAAGGCGAGGTAACTTTTCAAAGTAAACATTCACAGAGCTGCAAATAAGAAGACCTTTGTTTCAGGAAACATATGGAAGCAAAAATAAGTCTGAAATCCGTTTAAAACGGAAAAATAATTATTCGAAATTTTAAACTCTGAAAGTTTCCTGAAACTTTGGAGGAAATTATAAAAGGAGCAAAGAAAACCTGCTCTTTAACAAAGATAAAAGTAAATTTACTTTGAACAGTAAATTAATAATAATTTAAACATGTTTGAAAGTTTTAAGATTCATTTTAAAATTAGATTCAAGCAAAAAAGAAATATGTAAAATTCCTCTCGGTGGACATGAATTATTATGTTGGATGTTGGTCTAACCTGAAAAATAACCATATCGGGTGTTGTGCCACATTCCTCATTTGTCTAGCGCTGTCTCTAATCGCAGCATAGTTTGTGTATTTGCGACCAACAACTGGCAGAAAAAGTGAGAACGTAAGCTGCAAAATCTACTCGTCTAGCATAACCCTAAGTCGCGCAAAAAAAATGATGACACTCATAATTTATGGCAGACAACAAACGTTTGCAAAATATTAATAGATCACACTTTGCAACCTTCTTTGTTTGAAAAACTATTTGAAAATAGAAATAATTTAAACAATTTTTTCCTGCATTCATTTAGAGATTACGTAATTAGTTCCTTTTTTAACTTTGCCTAAAATATTGCTATGATATAAGATTTTAGGTTTCCGAATGAAATATTTCCCTGGAAAAATAAAACATTACTTAAAAAAATTATTTCTGATAGTAAAGGAAATTTTATTTTATATACAATTTTACTGGGCTCATTTTTATATTTGAAAATAAATTGATTTTTTTTATTATTCCCTCAAATCAAAATAAAAAGAAATAATAATATTTTTTAATAAATAAAATGAACAAAATTGAAACAAATAAATTATAATTAACAAATCATTAAAATTTTGATGGTCCGATAACAAAGAAAAAAAAAATCAATTAGTATTTTTAAAGTAGTAAAAGTTTGTATGAACGTATTATGAATACCATTACAGGACAAGGCTTATAATAAAATCACGCTTGCGGATCTGTCGACGCAGTTGGCCTTCCTCAATATAGTTGGCCGTGTCGTTACCATATTGGTTAGATTTGCCAACTTTTGAGTGTCTTTCTTGACGTCTTAGCTGTTACATCCGCCTTAATTGTCATAAAATATCCGTTCAAAACAAGCCTCAAGTGCGGTCGGCTCGCTTTGTTGTCCAAAGGGGCGTTTACGTTTAAATGGCAAAATAAATGTTTCCATTTGACGTGGAAACGTGGTTTGCATTGTGGTAGTTGCGCAAATAAATACATATTGTGAATTTAAAGGATACTCAATAACGATAATATTTATAAATTTAATGCTGGCGAAGATTAGATAAATAATACACCTAAGATAGATCGGTTGCCAAGTAGCGATTTAAAAGTAGAAAAATAAAAAACATATTCTCTTGGAAATTTGAATTTCACGATTGTTTGAAAAAATTTCCACTCCAAGGCAGAATTATAGGTAGATTTGAACGGAGGAGAATTACGTTTTGATTTTATGCCATCAAACCAGACAAATAAGCCAAAATTTACAGTAAAATCTGCTGAAAAATACGGATTTTGAAAATATTCCCGAGCCAAGAAGGGGCGGTGACCTTGAGCAAAACATCTCGTTTTTAGCGTAAATGAGCCAAACGAAGGAAAATATTTATCTGAAAAGTTTGAAATTATCATCGAGACGAATTACCTTGACAGCGCGAGGTCGTCGTCGGGCCGAATGATGACTTTCCGCTGTCGAAATCCGCGGTCGGCGCCGCGAATGTCTCTACCTTCGAGTCTTCTCTCGTCAACGGTGTTGCTGCTGCGGAGCCAAACGCACGTTCTTGACCTTAGAAAAAATCTTTCCAAATCAACTGTAGCGTTGTCGACTGCCGAACAGTCCAATTTTGGCAAATTTCGGCGCGAATTCCTAGACCGCAGGTGCACTAGGGTTGGCACTTTGTTTTGATCGCAGCCATCTTACTTTCGGGAACTCTCTGGGCGGCGCAGTTTCCCACCGAGGAGAATGCGTTCGGCGGCCATGTTTTCTACAGCACGAACCTATCTCAACAAATGCGTGATTTGAATTTTCCCGCCAATAATAGGCTCTTCCAGAAAAGATTTGTACCAGCTACCATATTCCTCTGCTGCACTCGGCTTTCGCGGTATGTGACGTAAAAAAGATCTCATAAAAATAAACCCTTCTGCAATGAACCATAACTGGTGCTGCCATCTAGCGGAGTAGTGGGCGTGCCCATGCCGTTTTAATGTAAACAATTTGAAAGCAACTCGTTTATCGCGACTTTTGAGTAAAAATTCTTAATTTTTGTTAAAAGTCATGCCGCAAGAAACTAGTAATTCTAACATTTAAAACTATAAGAACAAAATCCAACCAAAATGAGATTTGTTGGGCTGTTTCCTGCAATAGGCTGTAAGAATTAAATTCATTAAATATTTCTTTATAACTCAATTATTTTTAATTTCGCCTTTTTTTAGGTGCATTATTGGCAATTATTTATAGCCTCTGTCCTTGTCAAGCTGAATCATCCGCCAGTCTTGAGCAGATTGACCACAGCACAAATCTTCTGCCCACTGGCGAGGTCTGAATTCTTGAATTCTTTAGAAATTTTTAAAAAAAACTGAACGTATTAAACATTATGTATTGCATTTTTAGAACGAGGAAGTGCTGGTGGAAGAGGGTGAAATTGCTACAGAGGAGAACCCCGTCGGTGAGCCCATAGTGGATCCAACAATCGAGGAAAAGAACGTCACAGCAGCCAATGCAACAAGCACCTTCTCTGTTGCTTGCAAACCATACGCTGATGGACCCACTCCCGTCGAGGTGAATTAGCAATTTTAAATTCTTGAATAATTTATTGTTATATTTTGCAATGAAAAACTACGTATTTATAAATATAAAGCTTTTTTATTAAATTTATAATTATTAATTTCGTTTTAAACAGCTTGTAAATGGAACTGGTCTTCTGGCTTTACTTGAAACCGAGGCCAATGTAACCAGCCGAAAGACACCTGGTAGATGCGTTGGGCTTCTGTTTTACGCCAGCTGGTGTCCTTTCTCTTGTCTCGCCGCACCTTTCTTCAATGCCCTTCCAAGGACATTCCCAGCTGTGAAGTTTGCTGCAATTGATTCAATGAAGCACTACAGGTTTAGTAACTTTCTCCTCCTAAACTTAATATCGTCCGAGTAAACTCTAGCTTATTTGTTAGTGTTTGAACAAGTCCTTCGAAAATACAAATCGAATGATTGCAATCGAATTTTTTGTCAAATTTTCAGCTGGAACACACAGTTTGGTATTGTCGGTGTGCCAACGTTCCTTCTCTTTCACAATGGGCGACCCGTCGCTCGCTTCAATGAGACTGATTACAATCTTAAGATGTTTGCAAAGTTTGTCAAAAAGTGGACTGGTTAGTGAAAAGAACCAATTTGGTTTTATTTTTTAAATAATTTCTTTCATTTTCAGGAATCGAGCCTGAAGGCATGTTGAATGTGTATTCAGCAGACTTTGCTGGGCCCCTTCCAAATGTAGTGGAGCAGTCCACAGATCAGTGGTTGATACTGTCCTGGGCTTTTGTAGCCTTTTGCGGTATTTTCGCTGCATTACGTTCTACTCTTTGGCGCCATATGATCGACGGAGTGAAGCGAGTTTGGAGAGAGGCTGATGAAGTCCACCATGAGCATGCTGACTAATGATCAGATGCATTAAAAGATTTCATTGAAGCATCAACGGCATGGAGAAGTTAAACATAATTTAATTGTGAATCCAAATAATTGACACGCAGTAATTGAGAAAATTCAAGAAGTGAGTGATGTAAATAATGTTCAGTCTTATCGGGGTTTAAAAGTGGGTTGCGACTGACATTTGTTGAAGCTGGCAAATTGCTTAGTCAGTAGGTCTTAAATGTTTATTAATAAATGATGTGATTTGAGTTAAACAATAGATTTTCAATTTTACAATTGTTCTACTTGTGGCTCAGCTAAATAATGTTCTAATTCCATCTCATCTTGTGCAATAGTAACGGACTAGTTCCAATTGTGTCACATCAAATTTCATAACTCGATCATTTGAAACCATACTTGTTACTTTTTCTTCAGCTTAATTCAAATAACTTGAGCACATAATTTTTATCGTCAAAACTTCAAACATTTCAATGATTTTGAGTTAATTATCACTTTGGCTGATGTTTTTTGTTCTATATTGATATGAGGATGAAAACTGAATTGAAACAAGGCTTTTTCGTTTCTTCTGGTCTTTCAAAGGCCTTCCATCATTTTTATTTCTTTATCTGCAGCATATAATTTACTTCTGGTCAAAATATATATACATAGTTCGGTGTCGCTTGGTTTTCGCGTGCGTCGGCGAAAAGAATTACTCCTGAGCTCGGAACGAAAATAGCGCTAGGACTACAGCGGGCAGGCGCGCGTCCGCCGGCGGGCGCACACCCCGTCGCACCCGTCAGCGGACTCGGTTGACTCCGGGATGGTTTACAAGAGGGCCTTGATCTCGTCGTAGAGGACGAGCACGAAGGCACCGCCGGTACCACGGAGAACGTTGGAGAAAGCGCCCTTGAAGAAGGCACCAGTGCCCTCGTTCTTGGCGATGGTTGCCCAGCAGTGAAGGGTGTTCTTGTAGAGAATGTCAGCCTTGGCGCGGCCGGACTGCATCATCATGCGCCGACGCACGGTGTCGAAGGGATAGGAGATAATGCCAGCAACGGTGGTCACAGTCTGCCAGGAGGAAAATAAATTTTTAGTATAAAATGAAATAAATACCCTAAAATTTAAAAATAAGTAACAATTTTTTGTATCAATTGTTTCTTTTTCTGAATTATTTGAGTTTCGGAACTTGTAAAGAATCGGAACTTGTAAAGAAAAATTTTACCTGTGCAATGGCCCATGAGACGACCAGGGGGGTCTTCTTGGGGTCGGGCAACATGCCCTTGGCAGTGTCGTAGAAGCCGAAGAATGAGGCGCGGTAGATGATGATACCCTAGGGACGCAATTTTGATTAAGCCTGAACTTAAACAAGTTTCAGAAGTTTTTAAAGTACCTGCACTGAGACTCCGAAACCTCTGTAGAGACCAGAGAGGCCATCAGACTTGAACACCTTTGAGATGCAGTTGCCCAGACCAGTGAATTCGCGGGCTCCTCCCTTGCCGACATCAGCAGCTAACCTGTGTATAATATGAAACATTGCAAAAATTAATAATTCATAACCAATTTTAAATTAAAAAAAAAATGTGATTTTTCCATAAAATTCAATTATTTCCAAGTAGTTAACATTATATTCTTTAATAAACTAAATAAATTATTTAAAATTGATGACTTTTTACCTTGTTCGGGCGAAGTCAAGAGGGTAGACAAAGCAGAGGGAGGTGGCTCCAGCGGCACCGCCAGACGCCAAGTTACCGGCGAAATAACGCCAGAACTGGGTGTGCTTGTCAACGCCACCAAGGAAGACCTGCTTGTACTTGTCCTTGAAGGCGAAGTTGAGCGCCTGTGTGGGGAAGTAACGGATCACATTGGCCATGTTACCGCGCCAGAAGCTGGAGAAGCCCTGCTCCTTGGGGATGCGGACGAAGCAGTCCACAATACCTGGAATGCACCAAAAGAGTAGAAATTAGTAAAAAAAAAAAAAAAAAAAAAAAAGTGTGTTCTAATATTTGTATTCTCTCCGGATCTCAATGGTGGTCATTATTTTTCACTTTTTTTTTTAATATTTTACTTTGATGTATTTCACAAAAAAATTTGAAAATATTAATTAAATGATGATATTTTTTCTGCAGTTTCCTGCAACCTGGGAAAATTGAAATTCGTGGGGAAAATATGCATTGAGATATTTTAATTTCATTAATTTACTGATCTGCATGTGAACCTTATTCAATAAAATGAAGCCATAAAAGATTTAAGGAATTTTATATTCTAGAATTATTTTTTGCTTTTGTTGTGCAGGTTTGTAAACTTCATAAAAGGCTAAAGAAAAAATTGCCAAAAACTTTTTGTAGAAAGTAGGCTTCTTAAGGTTTGCTTTGCTAAATTTTTTAAATTTTCAGTTCATTTTTTGGTACATATTTTTTTTTATTATGCTCAAAACAAGTCTAAAAATGAAAGAGAAAATTATTATAATTTTTTCATTCAATTTGTTTGAGCACTTTTATTTTGTGATAAAATAATCCAGAATCAATATGGGACATATCAGAAAAAAATTGGCGCACCGGATGGGCCCGAATTGTTGGCCTTGGACGCACGACAGCGCGGTTTTTAAGCGTGCGTCTGTCCGCCGGCGCACGAGGCCTGGCTGCTGGCGAGCCACCAGCGCCAGGAATAGCCCTCGGACGGCTGCTATTGGGACGCGGTCGTTCTGTGGCTCTCTTTCTTAACACGCGTGTGTGTGCAATTATGTGAGCTATTGATATTGTTCTCTCGCGGGCTCTGATGCAGGCGGTTGCATATAGACCGGCGCGGTGCTAATTTTAAGCGCCCATTGATCGACCGCGTCAGAAGTGGGTCACATGTAACCACCAAAGTGCAATGGGCAACCATCGCCGCGTCCGAGCTACAAACATGTCCTACGTTTCATAACTGAAATTTTCAATTTACTTCAAAAATTGTGAAAAAAAAAATTAAACAGAGGCAAAGAAATTAAAACTGCCTTTTTGTAACAAATTTTAAATATTTTTAGACAACGAAACTTTTATTTTTAATTAGAACAAAAAAAATTAATTTTATTAAAAGATATTAAAAGGAATATAGAGTTAAAATGCTTAGATTTAGTCAATTGATTTAAAAGAATACTTCATTTTTGAGCAATTATACATAGGGACTGGGAGGTGATTTGTTGTATTGTATTTGAGCTTTTCACGCGTTGCTCGTCAGAGCTTTTTTGTTTGCACATTAGTTTACAACCAGCAAGGTGTGATAAAGAGCAAGGCCAAGTGTTATGCAAACGCCGCATCAAACGCGCTTCGCTCGAAAAAAGCAGCCGTCCCACATTTCGATGCAGAAAGCTCGGTCGGAGAAGGAAAATCCATAACTGCTGGCTGGGCTTCGAGCAGCGCATGATTGAAACAAAACGCCCTCAAAATGTTCTAGAACTTCAGCTTTGATTGATATATATTGAATTAAACTGTTTTAAGTGAAAAGTTTCTGAATGAAAATAATATAAAGAGCCTAAATTGAAGTAAATTGATAATTTTTTAAGTAAATATTCAATATTTTTTATTTATTACAATTAGCACTTCAAATGGTCTTTTTTAATTAGGACATCGGACTGCTGCTTTGGATTGTTTTAAAGTGGAATTCTAAAAGGAAAAGTGCAGCATTTGCACTTTCGCCGTCGGCGGGATTCCTGCGGCGCGCGCCGGGGGTTTCGACGGGCGGCGGTTTCCTCGCACCGTTGTCTCCCAATGACGTCAGAACCGGGCTGCTTTTTTCGCCAAAGTCATGTGAGTCAAAAGCGGCCAAAACTATTTTCGGGGCCGCCGCGAGAGCCAATGGTGAACACATCACACACGTCGCGACCGCATTCCCCTTTTGCGAAGCCCAAAGGGCAACGATTTCATTTCACTTAATCGCCCTCAAGAAACTTAAATGGGCAATCGCCAAGTAAGGAATAAAATAATAGATTGAAAAGTATTTTCAAAAACTTAAAAAATGATTTTTTTCAGTGATAGTAGGGGAGGAAGATTGAAAAAAAAAATGGATGATGAAATAAGGGCAGAATAAAAATGAGACAAACGTCATTGGTTGACATTCAAACGAATCGTTCGGTCAGTAAAATAATCAATAATCTTGAAAATATTTTAATTTAATTCAGATTTAATTTTAAAGAAGTTTAAATTTATTAAGGTATCTTAAACTGCCCTCCAATTATTCAAGAATACTCTGGAAAAAACTGAATTTCATAAAAAAAATATTTGGCAAAGAACACCCTTTCCGCATTGTTATATAATTGAAACGTTTATCAAAATAGCTGCAATTGTCTTTTAACCCTTTCATTTTTTCATTTCTTCAACTATTCTCTATATTTCTTCTCCTTCACACATAAAAATTTTGAAATTACAATGTGAAAGATTCATTTTAAAAATTCTATTGATTATTCCACCCCCTAAAAAGATGAGGGTTGCTTTTGACCCAGATTTTCCTTCAGCCAGGTTTAGCCAAAAGCCCCTCTCATTCAAAACTAGGCCACTTTTCCCAATCAATAACGACCACATTGAGCCCCGGATCGGGTATATTTTCCAGGGGGTAAATGAAGGTCACTCACCCTTGTACTGCTTGTCAGCAGCGATCTGCTTGGACACATGCTGGACCTGCAGAAGGAGCTTCACACGTTCAATGGGGGCTACGGCTGTCTTGGAGATAGCGGCAGACACACCACCGGCGATGAAATCCTTGGCGAACGCCACGGGGTCGGTGATCGAAGCGTTCATCTTGGGTCTTCTTTGGGCAACTATGCAACGATCAACTGCAAAAGGTGTGCTGCTGCTACTCTGCCGGTGGCCGCGGGTCGAAGGAGCGACTTCATACCCGCTCTACTCTGCTAAAGTAAACTCGTCCGCCCCTATCGTCCCTCCGTTCGGCGGCACGCGCCCCGCCGCCGCCAGGGGCGAACCTCGACTTCAATTATTAATTAAATTATCTTTAATGAAATTGTGATACTTAATTATAAATTTTTTCGTTCATTTTAGAATTTCATTAGTTTAAGAAACATCAACTCTGAAAATTGAATTATAATTTCAGTTTAATTTAAGATTTTAAACGTCAATTTATTTGTATGAAATTGCTATGAAAATTAAATTATTTAATGAGAGCCAATTAAATCTCAATTTACATTTTATAAAAAAATAATAATGATATCAATTTACTCAAAATTTAAGGCAAGAAATTTTGTTATAATTGGCGCGAAATTAAATTTTGATTGCTAATTATCATCCCAGTTACGCCGCTGGTTGTGAGACAGTGCTGTAAGGGCTGAATTCCTCGGCCGCGTGTGACAATCTCGACCTTAAGAGCGTCGACCCAATGCATTTGGGCCACTTTCAACGTGAGCGTTTGCGTCAGCCTTTTGTAATGCACTTCGTATGCAATTTGTTATTTTAGTGATTTAATTTTCATAACGGCCATCACATATTGACTTATCGTATCAGTCATATAATCGTGAGCCGGAAAAAAATATGAGAGTGTGACGATTTTAAAAATTTATATCAGTATTTGTGGGTTCGGTGAAGATTACAATGTTTTTAAAAATGTTTTTATAGTGCAGCTTACGTTAGGCGGCGATTTGCGAAGCAAAATTAAATTAATTATTTATTTGCCATATTATTTATTCTAGAAAAGACTTACTATTATTTTTTTCTCCAACTACTTTAAAATTGGCTGGTTGAATTGAGAATAGAAAATGTATTAATATAATAGACGTTTATCATAATTCATTATGCTAAATTTTTTTTTTAAATGCCAAACGCCTAACAAATAAATATTTAACAATAGTTTCTTTCTATACAATTTGGAAACATAAAACTTGGGCAACTGTTCATGAAGAGAATGAAGGCAAATAATTATAAAATTTATTGCATAATATAGCAAAAAGAAGACCATATGTTTATATAAACCAAAAATTTGATTTTTACTTTTTTGCAAAGAAAAAATCACCACTTTCATGGACTTGATTGTTTCTTTTTTCTTTTAAAATTCAAAGGTCTGCAGTCTGAAATTTATTGAATGTATTTATTCCCAGAAATAATATGAATTTTTAAAGTCCTGACAAATTTATAACAACTCCTATAACCTCAGGATTGAAGCATTATTTTTTTAATTTAATCTCTAATATATTTGTTGGATTAAGAAGAAAAATGGCTCAAAAATATTTTTTTGTAAATCTTAAGTGGTAATTGAGATGTTTATTTTGCCATCTTGTGTAAATAGGGGTGCGAGATTGTGGCGGCAGGTCTCTAAAAAATCTGGGGCAGTTAAATGGTTTGAGGGGCCTTCTGGATGTCATCTCAAGAAAGGCGCCTCTGGAGCGCAGCGCTTCTCTTTTGTCTGCGACTTCTTAATTCTCCGCCAGACCCACCGCCAGTCTGGTGCGCGGTTCGCAGGACAAAAAAGAGAAATTCTCGGCGCCGGCGTCCTCCTGTGAGAACCGAGTTAATTTTTACAGCGCAGAAAGAAAACACGCCTCCAGCTACAAGGCGCGCGGCAATGTGGCTTTTAAAAAAGTTGAAAAGATAGAGAAGCAGGAAAATTTTTAACTGGAGAAAAAAATCTTTTTTATAGATAAAACTGTGAACAATTCAAAATTGCTTGGGAAAGACATGTCACTTCTTGAATATTGCAAAACTGCAGAAATAAATACCAATAATAATAATGAACAATCTTGCAAAAACTGGAAGGAAAAAAATTATTTTATTGCTTGTAAATAAACCTAGAAATTTGAAAATAAAAACGTATAAAATTTATTATTAATAAACGATTGGTTTTATATCAGGATTTAAACTAGGTCAAAACTTGTTAGTGCTTGTTAGCTTGAAATTAATTTGTTATAAAATCTAACTAAAACTAAAAGCTAATGATTGTGAGAGGTTTTCTTTAATCCTATATGTTATTATAAATAAATTTACTATTAATTTGCCCACCCATCAAGAATTACAGAAATTGGAAAGAATAAAAAAAAATGATAACAAGAAAATTTATTATACGTTGAATAGGCTTTTGCTAGTAAAATTAATTTCCGAATTTTATAGTTATGATGATAAGAAATTTTGATTATTTAAAAATTTAAAATTTGATTTAATATTAATAATTGTTCACTTGGTTGTGTTCAAACCAATTTTCATATTTTATTTTTTTTAAACAAAATAATGAAAATAATTAATAATAATAATGATAATAAAATAATTCTATTATTTATTGTAAAAAAATTAATAATAAAGATGTTTTATAATTCAATAACAATATAGTTATACATTATAATTTTTTATTAAAATTTGTATTTTTTTTAACTCGGATGAAAATTTCGGTCATTTTATTTTTTTAAATTCAACTCCAAAAGTGGTAAAGCAGGCCCGCAAGATGGTGCAGCGCAAGGAGAAATGAAGAAAGTCTCTGGTTGAAATTCGAGCGACAGCAGAGATCAAAGCAATTAGCCCGCGGCCGCTTATCTGGGCGACGTGTTGGTCTGTTAAATGTACTCCCACTGGCAGCAGGCAGATAATCCGCCGGTCGGGGAATAAATTTCCAACCTGCAACGCGCGGGGCTGTTTTGCTCCGAAAATAAATGTTTCTCGCCGCGCGGCAGCGAGAGCAGGCAACCGGCACACACACACGCGGACAAAGTGAATTAAAAGGCGAGATAATTTATTATTTATGCATAGAAGCAGAAGCTCGCCGGTTAAAAGCCCCGGCCGAACGCGATAAGCGCGACTCCCGTGCTTTCTGGCGTTTTATCCGCGTTGCGCCTCGACCGGCCGGGACCTCCGGACTCACCACCTCCATCCTTTATATGGATGGCGCCAAAAAATCTAAATTTGGAAGTCGATCCTCTCATTCATTTTGGTGGTTTTGATGTTTTGAAAATATACAGAAAGAGCTAATATGATAGAAGATAAAAAAATATCAATAATAATTCTGTCTATATAGTCTTGTGTGGTCTTCATTTTTCATTAGGGATTTTTTTGTTAATATTAATTTTTATTTAGAGGATGTATAAAAATTCCCTATTTTTTACTGTGAAAACATTCCAAAATCAATTAAATATTGAATTCAACCAAAATTTATGCACAAGTGTTGAAAACTGAAGCTATAAAGTTAATAATATAAATAATAGTTGGTTATATATTTCCTTTTCTTTTTAAACTTTATTCTCTAGATCCGCTATACCCTTCTTTTTAGCTGAAATGCTGAAATGATTTGAACCGGACAGAATAAAAGTTATTTACTATTATTTTGGCATAATTTTTTTTTTGCATATTCTTTTGGTGTGACAGACAATAATTTAAAATTTAATTCATCTTAACGTTCAGTTTAAAGAGATCGGATAATTGCTTCCGAATTTCATTCAACTTCTCAACATTTTCTGCCTCTTTTTTTAATATAATATTGACAATAGAGACGGCTGTCTATTTGAATGCTAGATCTGTTTCAACATATAACAATTATTATTCATATATACTAAGCCAATATAACTCTCTTTCCAACTAAAAACCAGATTGTTTTGTGAAGCTTCGCATTGATATTGTTCTCTTTGTGTACGAGATTCACGTGTTAAAATGCGTTTTTTGCGCTGTAAAAATTCGAAGGCTCGACTGAGCGCCGCCGTTGCACTTAAAGTGAACACGTGTTTGGCGTTTTAACTGTGAATGTTGTGGAATTATGTGCGGCGCGCCACGACTGCATGCATGGTCGGTCGATCCTTAGTCACCCCCGCACACAATAAGGCGCCGCAAGTCCATCAGCGTAAAGTTTGAAATTTGTTTTCACCCATATCGCGTGTGTGATGTGTATGATGCATTGAGGAGCTTTTAAGTCTTATCTTGATCGATCTTTACCGCCACTGTTTCATAAAAACATAACATTTTTGTGGGGAATAAAAATTTTAGTGCAAGTTTTAAAATAATTTCATTTTGCTCAAACTCAAAATAGATATTTAAGGACATCATGTTGCGGAAGATATTTATATATTCCTTTCAAATTATTTAAAAAATCATCCTACTAAATTTGTTTTATACACTTTTATATGTGAAAAATATTATAGGCAATATTTAAATACCTAATTATAAATAATGAGATGTACACAAATTTCAAGTAAGTAAAAATAAAAAAATGAAAAAAGCCAATAAATCTTAACTTGGAACTAAAAAATTGAAAAATGGAATCTTCAAATCCCTGTCGCCCGCCAACCACCTGCTTTGGTGACACCGAAAAAGCAGCTCCCTTTCTCTCACCCTGTCCCAGCAATAAAATTCGAGCCTAGGGGGTGAAAAAAAACGAACGCACCCCGCTCTATATTATTTTTTGCGTCTCTGTTCAGCGTCTGTTTGTCCATTAAGCCCCAAAGGCGGCTAATTTGGCTGTCTTGGGTTTCACTCTCCAGCCTGGGGGAGGGGGAGGGAAACTCGACCAGCCGAGAGATGATCGGTCCAGAAGTTAGTCAGTCTCAGTCATTGGCAGGAAAGATGCTGGGCGAGCAGACGACGAGTTGCTCCTACGCCATGCGAGACCTCATCTTCACCGACCCTTGCACACCGACCTTCGACCCCTACCCTGAGTACCTGAGCTGGCAGGATTCAGTGCCGCCACATGCGACTTTCGCGCCACTTGATCACGTCCAACCACACCTGCCACCACCAGGTTAGACTACAAAGAAATCGAACTACTCAATCTTGGACTTATTTTACAAAATTGAAATCTTGAGCAACTGGCAAAGATTTTTTTTTAAATAATCGGTTTTAGACATATAGGCTATTTTTTTTTTTTAAATGGAATAATTTTCATTGAAAATAAAAAATAGATTTAATTGTATTGCGGTGTAATTATTCGAATGCGAAAAATTTGTTTATATTAAAACAGTATATCTTAGGAGAACCAATTATGAATAATAAATTTTAATTTCTTAAATTATAGCCATTTAAAAATGAGGTGAATTGTGAATTAAAAATTTAATTCCAAACAAAAATATCATAGGTTTTCAAATTAAAGTAATTTTTAAATGAAATTTTATGATTCTTCAGTTTGTTGGATCCTAAAGAATTATTCAAACAATTTCCTCTAAATGAAATTAAAAAAAAAAATATTAAAAAGCCTAAATTAAAGCACCGTAAAACACAAGGAAAGTCTCATTGTCAGATTGTTTGCAAGCGGCCCTAGATTTTATTTGAAACGGAATCTCGACAGTGACGTAATTGCGATGAATAAAATTTAATGCAACATCGCCTTCGTTTCTTTCTTTTTTTATCACTGACCGTCCATCAGGCAGTAAAGATCCGCTGATGCACAACATATAAAATTACACGCGTGTGCGTTAAGCCCGCCTGTGTACGTAAAAAAACTATAAATTGGGGCGCACGATGTAAATAAAGATAGTCACTTTCATTTCCATATTCATATGGTCTTGAATTTTCAAATTCATAAAATTTATTTATATACTGTGGGGAAGTTATTATTTTACAATAAAGGATTTTAATTCCTAAAGATAGGTTTTAATTATTTTCTATAAAAATTTGGCAAATTCGTGGTTGCAGTTACGGCAGATGCAGCAAAACTTGAAAAAACACCTCTGAAATCAAAATCTGAATCAACAAGCAAACCTAGGATCAAACGAAAACCCAGAGTACTTTTTTCACAGGTAAGCAGTTTGAGAAAGTTTTTTAATATGGGATATATCAGAGAATATTTGAAGTCTATAAATTTCAATTATTTATTGAAAAGTTTTGTAAAATTCTGGCGAGCAAAGAAACACAATTTTATTATTTTATTACTCAATGTTTTAAGATCAAATTAAATTAGAGTTCTGGTTTATGATTAAAAGCAGAAATGTTTTTGTCTTTTGTAACATTCTATAAATTTGGTTGAATATTGGGTTTGGTTTCAATTTAAAAAGGGAGTAATTTTTTCAATTTTAATTGTTGAAACTTTTATCTTAAGGTGCAAGTACAGGAGTTAGAGCGACGGTTTCACCAGCAGAGATATTTAAGTGCGCCAGAACGTGACCAAATCGCGGCTCAACTCGAGCTGACCTCCACCCAGGTCAAAATCTGGTTCCAAAATCGGCGGTACAAGTCCAAGCGCTTCCCTCCTGACGCGAGTTCCGCCCCCAACGCTGCCCCCAGCCGATGCGTCTACGCCAAAGAGCCGCCTCCTGCCAGTGTCAACAATAATAACAACAACAATGTCATTTCGGCCACAGTGCACCACCAGCCGTTCGAGCCACCCCCATACTTCTGTCCGCCTGCGTATGCCGCCCCCAGTCATCACCAGCTCATGACCGACTTTGAACAACCCACCTACGCCACCCTCCACAGCGTTCAGCAACCCAGCAGATGCTGGTGAATTTGCCAAAAGTATTTTTACTTAAAGAGAAACTCATCTGATGAAATCGAATCAAAAGTTTGATTGTTGCAAATTTCTGTTCTGCGGAGTCAAAAAATATTATTATTGTTGGCTTCAATGGGGGTTTTGTATTCACATCTTGCAATTTTGAACAAAACTGATAGCGCCATTTTTATAGCAGTGGATCGAAAGGAAGTCAACGCTAAAATAAAACCGCAGAAAATTTTTGAGCAGATATTGCTTGTGTAGCTCAAAATTGACCCTCATAAAATGCAACCCAGCATGAGCACGCCAACTTCAAATACTTTTATGAAAAACAAATTGTTCAAAAAATACTTTAAGTTGTAAATTATATATTTTAGTTTAAATTATGTTGAAATTAACAATTATAGCACGTGGAGATTCTTTAACAGTGAAATAATTTGTACTTGAGTCAGGGATATAATTGTATGTGAGGAAGCGCGCGCATATAATATGTATTTTGTAAATACATAATTTTTGGAATTTTTGTATTGAGCAATAAAATTTTAGATAAAGCAATTACAACATAGGTTATTTAAACTAGAAATATTTTATTCTATTAAAACTAAAACACAAATATTAAGGTAAATAATATGAACTTTTAATAAACGTTTTGGCTTCTTTGTAAGCTGACTGTATTTTTTTTTTTTTTTTTTGAAATAATGGAAGTTAATTTTCTGATATCATTCTGCTTATTATGCAATTTTATAAAAAAAAAAACTACAGAAACAAAATATAGGCAACCTGCAGCACCCCAAAGAGCTGCACCACTGGCGCCTGCAGATTATTGAAGTATGCAGCCCGCATGTCACTTGATCTTCAGACGGCCCCTGCAGTTTCGGAATTTATACAACCCGCGTGGTAAAAATGATGAAAAAATTCTCCAACTGTGGCCAAATTAAAACATGACGGTCTGATTGCTTTTTTTTCATTTGAATCAAATTAAATAAAATATTTTCTAGGACTAAACTAATTTTGATCTCAAATTATTACTATTATAAATATGAAGAAAAAAACGATTTGAATTTGATCAATCAGATGAGTAATTATGATAAATGTGAAAAATTTTGAGCTCGCCTGATAGTGATCAAAAAATGAAATTGATTGATTCAATTCGACCTATTTTATTGTTGTTTGATATAATATTAATTTTTTCCCCTCGCGCCACAGACCCCATTAAACTGCTATTCAGGAGTTCTCTTAAAGGCCGTCAGAGGAAGTGAGGTGTCTACTCGTGAAAGCCGAACTCGAGCGGCGACGTTTAGAGGGCGCCAAACGTACCTTTTCAGCAAAATCTACCATCTGCGAACCAAAACAAAAACCTCGAGGATGCCGGATTGTCCCTTGCCTTAGGTGACCTCGTTTGAGGGCTGTTTCCGGCCGATGGAGGGCAAGAATGAGAAGCCTGGAGATGGAATTCGCTCCATGCGTTCGTCCACCCTGTTCCGAGCCACAAATTTTGAGCTTTACGCTAAACCGGTTTGATAATTCTGAATTAAAAGTTTAGTCTTTTTTTACATAATAGTTGCTTTGCAGAATAAAATAATCATGGCTCTGGGACTGGTGGGCCTGAGTGTCAGCATCGGCTACATGGCCTACATGCGTACCCAGCACGAACGGATGGGTCTGTACACGGCTGTCGACACGGAAGGGCAGGAGACGTTGATGAAAAGGCCCTCTCGGTGGGATTGATTTTGAAGGAAAATAATTCATACATAGAGACCACGCAAATAAATTGCTTGTAAGAATAAAGTGTAGATATCAATGGAATGTTTAAAATTTGTAATTTCAGTTACATTTCCAATTTTATTTTCCTAAGTAAATTTTAAAACTTAATTTTCTCTTTGAAATATTTTAAATCTCAGAAAGTTGCCTATTTTCAATTTAAATATATTTGTATAGTTATTATTTAAAGGAAATTCCATGAAAATGGTAGCGATTATTTGATTAACTAATTGTTTAACATCAAAAATTGCCCTGTATTGCGATAAATTGTTTCTCGTGTTTCTTTTTTGTGATTATAATGTTTTAACAAGTGAAAAAAGCCAATATAACAATGGAAACAATTTTTTCTATAAGAAATTTTCAGAAAACAATAGAAGTAAATAATAGTTTTTGACTTGACAAAATTAAACTTATTTAAAAATCATTTATAAAAATTATAAATACTTTGGCTGGAAAATTATTTTACCATATTAGTAGAGCTCTTTAAAAACGCATTTATTAAAAAAAAATCAATTTGACTGAATAATTATCATTTAAATAGTCATTCTTTAAAATGAACATTTCACTGAGGTTGATTTGATTCCATATTAGCTAATTAGCATTTTCTCTCCTTTTTTTAAATTTTATAGATTGCAAGTAAGTGGCCTTGGTGTGGTGTGGTGCTCTTGAAAAATCCAAGCTTTAAATTTGACTCGGTGCCCATACACGCTTAGTTAGGTTTGAGTGTCGAATGTTAATTAGACGGCCATGGAAATAAGTAAAAACAACACGTTAAAAGAGTCGGCTGCAAATTCGATTGGAGAGTGGTCAGCAGACAACCGGTCCATTATTGAGCGCCGCGCACACTAATTGGGCGATAAATCTCGCCAGACCAATTTTACGAACGCACACACCTTCGCAAGGCCCGATCGACCGCCGCTAATTAATTAACCGCCGCTTTAATTTCCAATTAGCAGCTCCGCGCTAATTCTAATTGTGTAATCCCTCTGGCCGAATTTTGTAATTAATTTATTAATCGCAATTTTCCATAAATTTCACCTCTTACTTCTTTTTTTTTATCAAACCTTTGTGGGCATCAATTTTGTCCGGAATTATCCTCGGGCCAATATGGGACGTCTGATGCGGCGGCGATAGGCGGTGATTTTCTGCGGTTGTTGAAGGGGACCTCTCGTCGCCGCTGCGGTTCATTTGGCGACTCCATTTTTGCAGCAAGAAAAGCTTTAGGGCCCCTCGAGGCAGCCGAGTGAAAGTGGCCGATAACAGCACAAATTTCCCATATTCTCCGCCAGGGGCAAGAAATTGCTTTCCAATAAGCCGCCCCAACACCCAGCGGCACCAGACAGATGCCCGCCTTGCTAATCGCAAAAAACCCGCAACTTCAAATCACTCAGGCCATGCGAAGTTTTTTGTAAATAAAATTGTTATTACAAATTCGATACAAACAATTGAAAAGCAGTAACAAAATACAAAAAAAAAAACACAGATAAATTAATTTACTAAATTTCTATAAAAAAAAAAACGTTATGCAACCCGCGCAACCTAAAACAGAATTTTGTCAACGTTTGATTGTTTTTCCTTCTCCTGCGATACCTTCAAGTCTATATAGAAATCAGACATTGGTTGCAAATTATATTGATTAAATACTTGGAAAGGAAGCTTTGGTGATTGTGTTGCATGATTTAATGACAAGAATGCGAAAAACAGAGACGATTTGTAAACTCTTTTAAAAAGAGGAAAAATGAGCATACCCAATAGGAAACAACCCACATTTTTTACACCATTCACTCTTTTAAATGTTACTGCAAATTTAATCAAACTGAAAATAACGTAAATTTTGAACATTATTGCAAATTTAAGCAAATTAAAAAAAAAAAGTTATTTAATTAAATCCTTCATTCATTTCCTCCTTTTTTAGATTTTTAAAATAATCCCAATTCATTAGAAACCTTTGAATCACTTGTTTACATAGTGAAAAACAAGTTTTTACAGCAATGTAATTTAATATTTGCAATTATCGGAAGACAATTTTAAATTTGAAAGTAACCACCATTGTTGTAAAGAATTTAACAAGGGATTATTAATCAATGCAATTTGACATATATCCATTCAGTAAAGACAATGAACTTATAAATAATAAAAATGGACATTAACGTCTACTTAAATTCTTTTGATATTTGAAGATTTGCCAACAAATTTCCCCCCTTTTTGGAAAAATCTTTTGAGACAGATGAATTAAAGGAAAACGGAGGCAAGCGGTTAGTCAAGTGTAAAACAGATGTTATCGCAGCCGATGAAGAGGATCATTAGGCTGTGTGCTTCTTGAGCGTGTATTAATTACAACGGCAGCTCGTTAACTTTAATTTGACTGACAGCCAGTGGTCGTGTTGTAATTGGGCGTCCGGTTGCAACGCAAATATTTGTCTTTTCGTAGGCTAATTACCCCGGCACGATGTGTACCTCGGGAGGCGCGAAAGAAACGCGACACTTTGCACGTTTCACTCGCCCAACACGTGTGCAACTTACATAAGCTCAGGTTTAAATAAAGTACTTTAGTTAATTTCATTTAAAACCACCGATTTGAATTTCAAAGAGGGCAGGTTGCAGCGGGGATCGATCTGGCGAGGGACGAGAGAGACTGCTTAGTGGGGGCGTGCTGGAATTTAATGCATGCAGATTAACCAGCGGCGCTCGTGTGAATTACAGAGGCAATTTTCGCTCTCGAGCAGCAGGAGATGCCAATATATAAACGTGACGTCACTGCGCGAAGGGAAGACAGCCAATCGGGCTGCGGAAATTGCCCTTCTGCAGCCCCAGCAGCGTGTGTTGTTATGTCGTCGACGCTTGATGGCCGCCACCCTCTCTCTCTCTCTCTCTCTCTTTTCAAAGCACAATGGCAGTCCTGATAACGCCAGCAGTTGCCGCCGGCGCTCGCTAACCATATTATGGAAGCAAACAGCCCTTATTACCCGCCTGCCAGGTACGGACTGTGGCCCCCAAAGGGAGAATCTGAAGGGTCTCGGAGAAATTTGAGTAAAAAAAATGAGCCATCAGTTCATTTGTTCGTCCTGACCAAGAATGCAATTCAAAAATATTATTTTTTTTTTAAAATTTACAGGAATTTGGAAAAATTACATTTCACCAAATATGGTTGATGGAGATTTCCAATTAAAATTTGAGGGACCAAAAAAATGAGAAGCGATGAATTTGCCGGAATTTGCATAGTAACTTCTGACAATAAGTCAAGGTTTCACTTCCTTTCGGAAATAGTGATTTATGAAAGAAGTGGATTAATTCCAGCAGATTAAATTAAATTTTCACATTTTCAGGTTGAATTAAGATAATATTAAAAAAAAAAAAATTTCGTTTTGAAAGTGGTGCTAATTGTAAATCCTTTTAACGAGTTCTTAAAAAAATGTATTTCTTCTTTCTTAATTATTTATCTTGTAAAATTTCCAACGAATCTGATAAATTGTCAAGCCAAGATTTTTTTGCATTATAATATACTTCTTCAATTAATTATTTGTGTCCTCAATTCAAGAAATTTTCAGCCTAATTTTTCATTTAAACAGAATAGCTACTGCTTTTGGTAATATTCTTTTCAAAATAAAATCAAGGTCAAGGTTGCAAACACAAAATATAAAGGCAGTCCGTGCCTGCTGGAGGGTCGCTTATCTGCCTCTGGCCGCGGCGTGAAAGCATCAGGTCTATTTGCCGGACCGAATTACAACCCTTGGGCGCCGCACCACCACACCAGATAAGCGGTAATTTTTTTCGCGCAAATTTTTCACACCCCCTTAAGATGATTTATACGTCGATTAGCAGACAGGCACCGCACCCTGCCTCCACATATTTACTCGGACGCATTTTTCAAGATTTCTTTTCGCAGCAAAAAGTTATCACACCGTTTTTATAACGCAATTTTCACGAGAAAGTAAAATAATTCAATTTTCCAAAAGTGCAAAATAATTTGCAAGAGTTGTTTTCCCTTTTATACACAGGCCCTTATTGTATTATGTAGCGGAATGGGGAGGCAATCGGTCCAAATTGCGCACAAAAGAGGCGAAATTGGAAACTCTCTCAATTCAGCGGCGTCGCGAGCAGTTTTATTGCCGTCGTCGCCGCGTCGACGCTGCTGCTTCCTCTTGTTGTGCGAGGGTACATTGGAGAGAGAGCTGGGGTGCGGTGCGGACAATGTAACCCCGCCTTTTATGCGCGCACGTTCGCGATGGCTTATCAGAAAATTACTCATTTTAGTTCGCTCGCTCGCGGTGACAGACGCTGCAGGAAATTGGAATAAGAAATTCGGCGTGAATGAAAGATAGGGCCCGTCTATGGTTATAATACTACACACACACTACACACAGGGTGCCGTTTACCCAAAGAAAGCGGCCATATTGGAGGACGGCAAAGGACTGCAATTTATTTCTCAATAAAATGTCTTACAATTTACTTGGATGGCTGTCCAAATTTACCAGGTCCTGTAATGAGGAAATTAATTGATTTGGTTTTGAATGGAATTTAAAATAATAAAAATTTTGAATGCTTTAAATAAACGCAGAATTTGCAAATTAACTCAAAAAATTATATCAGGATTTGACCACTATAGGAAATATTAATTTAATTTTATTATTATTTTTTTTTTATGGAAACTTACGGGTCAAAATTGGTAAATTTATTCTCTCTGGCGTCCTTTCTCCAATAACGCAGAGTTTCTCTGTCGAAATCCGTCTCCTGGTGATTAATTAGGAATTCAACGTACTTGACGTCGTAAGGTTGGTAGATTAAAGGGTCGGAAGCGTCCTCATCTGACGCAGAGTCGTATGCGTCAGGACTCTCTCGTCGCAGGAGATCCTCTTTTGTCGGTTTAAATCCTTATTTAAATTATTTTTCAAATAAATATTTGAAATATTTAAAAAAATTTAACATACCTAAAAGTCCAGGTGTCTTTTTTTGAAAAAGTTTTTCAAATGGCTTGAATTGTTTGGCCGTCTGCAAAGGGGTGCCGACTATGGGCACCTTGGGCAGTAAGATGCAGCTACAGGGTAGCCACACAAATAACGCTGCCACCAAAAAAGCAAGAAGCACCGATAGATCCATTATGAGTGAGAGTTGAAAAGGAACTGTCTGATGCAAATTTCAAAGTAAAATTGGCCTTGATAATGAACTCTCTGCAATACGTTTTGCTGAATTTGCAAACAAAAAATATTATAACATAAACATTCAGTGTTGAAACTGCCGCTTGACATTGCAATTTTTATCACAGGCAGTTTTTATAGCAAAGAGCTGAAAATTTGGTTGAATTTTATTGTTTCTATTAAAATTTGCATTTTAAGTAATACGAGTGAGGCTATGGATAAAAAAAATTGAAGATATATGTTTGAAGATTTTCATTTTTTCCTAATTCTTCATAATTTAATCAAAAAAATCTTTTATAACAGGTAGAAAAAAAATGAAAGCTTAATTTTTTTTAGCATTTTGTGCCTTTCAAAGATATAAAAATTAGAGTATTTCGCACTATTTGGAGAAGGCATGGCTGTGCAGGCCTCAAGTGTGGTTGGCGAACGCGCAGAAATTGGCGCGCGCGAGCACAGGAATTGCAGCCGAGACACACGACGACGATGCGACGAGGGCCTAACAAGCGGACGATAACAACCACCGCCCTCTCTCCCTGCGTTTCACCACTCAGCTTGTCAACTTTGTATACCCCTTTGCATGCGTTTACAAAATTTCAAATTTGGAAGTGAACGCTTTATATTGTTTGCTCTTGAATTGCTCTCAAAATTGGAATATATATACAGAGAAAATACGACAAGTGCCAAAATTTATGACTATGATGCATGTCTCAATAAAATAGAGAAACGTGTACATACTGTTTGTCTTGCCTACATGAATCCTTTTTAACTAATTAAATAATAAATTGAAAATTTTAGTTTTCTATTTAAATGATAAAAATTCTAAATACATATATTAATTTTTAAATCATCAGGACATTTTCTTACTATCCATATTATTTTTTAGTAATCAAAGAAGGTGGCATTATAAATTAATAGCCTGGAAGTTATACTGTGCCGCTTTACAGACAGTATTATATTTTAAAAACTAATTAATAAATTTATTAACAAATTAACGATAAAGGCACACAAATTTTGACAAATCGTTCATAATATGCTATTTTTTATGAATGTAAGACATTCTAATTGTAAGTAAAAATTAAAACAAAAAAATGACTTTTTGTACTAAAAAATACTGCAGTGATAAAAACATTCGGGTTGATTGTCATCTCCATTTACAGAGCAATGGAATAAGTAATCAAAACCCGTGGGAGCGAAAAAGATTCAATTACGCGACGTGCGAGGGATGATTACAAAATTTATTAACATTTATATGCTATCATGCGCCGTCCCCCTTTGCCAAACATGACTGCATTGTCATTGAAATTGGCTGGCGAGGGGCCGAAAATCTGCTTTCGCTGGTAATCGAGCCGGCGGTCGCGTGCGGTTTGTCGGCGATCAAGCCACCCCCGCCCCCAAAAGTCATTCTTACAAACACTCCGCTTTAATCAACTCTGATTTTTATTAATTCTCGAATCACACTATTCACATTCATTGGCTGCACCATTGTGCTCAGTGGCTGATACGTTTGTCTGATAAAAATTACTACTCTAAAGAATTTTTAGGAGATCTAAATAATTTTTCACTAAAACAAAAAAAAAACAAGTTGATTGACCCAAAAATAGCATTTGAATGCTAAAAAAATGATATGCACAAATTGATCAATCCTAAAATATATATAGCAAAAAAAAATTAAAATTTGTATTAAATTTTAGGTTATAGGAATATAAATCTTGAGCTAAATAATTATTGTAATTTAGTTAAAAATTAATTTTATAACTTAGTAAATAAAAAAAATATATATTTTAAATATTAGCAATTAATATATTGAATAAAATTGTTTAAAAAACAAATATTCTTGTTGCTATAATTAGAAACAATTTGCTAGAGATACCAACCTTTCAGATAACGAACCGTTTCAAATTACTTTTCTCGAGTGGAAAGGCATTTTTGACGTCATGTGCAGATAAATAATGTTGGCAACGTGGAGAACGAAATGTGTGCTATCGAATGCTGCCCGTCCGCCTGAAAACTCTTCTTTGAGGCAACAGATCGTGCATTACTTTTATCGGACGCGTATACATATTTATTCTCGAGTGTACTGCTAATTGGGCCAATAAATTGCAAACACGATCGAGGACAGCGCCGGCCGGCTACCGTCGATCCCTTGCTGCTGCTGTATAATAAGCAGCAGCAAAGTGGGTGTAGCGGCAGCAGCACCGCCGATTGGCATCTCTGCTGCTTATTTAGTGCCATTAGGCCTTGTTAATTCTCTTCTCCAAAGTTGCGACCAATCGACCGACTTTAGACATTTACCTGGAAAACTTTTCAATGTTGGCATTCCTGCTCAATTCATTATTTTAAACAATTAAAGTATTCATTATCAAAATATTTACCCAAGAAAAATCTTAATGAATTTAAATAAAAATAGAAGTTTTCAAATATTTTCGGCCAAATTTTAAAACTATAAATAATTTACATTTTAACCTTAATATCAATAAGAGCTACAAAAATGTATTTTTTAAGTTTAGAAATTGCAAAAAGTGGTGAATTTTCCGCAGCTTGGTGCGGCAGGCTGGGTTCTTTTTCTTGGCATCAAGATGTAAGAAAGAAACTCGTTTTTCGCGTCGCTCGTACTTTTTCGTGCGATGCTTTTTTGCGGGTGGGGGCACCAGTGGCCAATTAATTAAAAGACGTACCTGCTGTATATGCGCTCCCTCGAAAAATCCAGTAGCAACCGCGAGCGCCTAATTGGACTCGTCGAGCGGGAAAAAATACACCCGAAAACGATCGTTCTCTCGCAGCAGATAAATCGAAGCGTTTTCCAGCACTCGTCCTAATTTGCAGCAATCGAGCAGTTGTGCAAATTTTTCGCACTTGTAAACTTCACCAACCTCAGGCCGCATGTATAAAAGATTAATATATTATTTTGAAATACCCAAAATAAAATAAACAATTAAAAAATATTAAGAAAATACTCAATAATATTGTATTTTCCTTCACCACCAAATTAAGTTTTCAAAATTAGAGTTCCAAATCGTACTAAAAATTTAAATAGATAAAAAATAATTAACTAAATCAAGGTTTCCATTTCTTACTACCAAAAGCTTTAGTCAGTTTCTTTTTTCTATAATTTAAATATTAAACATCGCAAGCAACATGAAACTATTCTATTGTTTGGAAAATCGTAACAATCACAATTTGTTCTGATTGTTGAGATGCATAGAACTAGAAAAAAATTCTGTATAATTTGTATTATAAATTCACTGGATTTTTCGATTTATTTACAGATTTTACTCTTAATATTGCAAAATTAATGAAACAAATAATTTTCAGTTCAAAAATAATTGAGCGCCTGATGCAATTGTCATTCACCATTTGTCGCAATCGGCTCCAATTATTTGTCAGCGCTTATTGGGCAGCCGCTGCTTGAGTACCACCTGTCTGTCTTTTTCTTTCGCTCTTTCTTCTTTCTCTCTCTCTCTCTCGGCAATTCTCCATTTCAGGAGTGGCGCGCGATTTTTTCCGCGCTCGCCGCATGCACCAATTAAAATAGTTGTCCGTCCGTTCCGCCAGAAGTAATAAATAAATAAATTATTGCATTGTCTCCGAGGGTGGACGTGGCCGCTGTTGTTTTTTCGCGTGTACGTACGTCTAATTAGCCGCCGCCGCACCGCGGCCTCTCGCACGTGACCGGCCTGCCTAAGAACGCTCCAAACTCTGTGTGCGCGCTCGTTAAAATTTCAACTGCGAGAGCATTCCCAGGCCGGTTTTTGCGCTGCTCGACAACCGCGATACGTTAAATTCACGGGAAATTGTTTTTTAATCGGTAGTAATGGCGGAATATTGCTTCTAATTTGCTCTCCATCGCATGACTTATATATTGTATTGTTTGACAAAGCCAATTAAACGGTGTTAGGTTGGTACTCTTGCTTGGAATATATTTTTTGTACTTTCGTAAGCAGCTCGTTTTTTTACAGCTTATTTCATTCTCCATGTATTTTATATAAAATCAAAATTACATTATTGATCTCACACAAAAAAATTTAAATATTGAATTTTCTTATCAGTTGAAATTAAATATATTTATTTAGATTTTTCCATTTATTTACTTTTAGTGGAGAATGAATCCCAATAAATCAATGGTTTTTTCTGAATAATGTTGAGAAAGGGTTTCTAAAGAGAGATGATGATGATGATAAATATTCATTTGCAATATATTATTGAAATTAAAATTTAATTTATTTTTTTTCGGTGTTTTTTTTTTTTTAATAAATGACTTCCATATAATTTTTTTGAGGATTTGAACTTTACAAATTTTATTTCAGAACCAACAAAGTAGATCATTAAATTTTAATTTTAAAATTTTAGGGAACTTTTCTTTTTTTTCACACAGTTTTACAATAATTAAATTTACACTTAAATGCTAGAACATCACATTACGGAATTATTATCGATACATATTATCGAACTTACGCATTAATCGGTATACATTTTCTTTTTTTAATATTTATAAGAGTTATTTCTTTCTGTACACGCATTCGTTTGTCAGTTCGATCCGCAGGGAAAGTTTATATATGGCACCTTAAAGTCGCGCACTTTGTTGAGATCTGCTTGCAGTCGGATGTGGCCCGCAGTGCATTTTTTGCGATAAGCCGGTTGATTTTGTAAGAAAAAAACCGTGCAGTCGAGATAATTTGACTTCACTTTTGTTAAAAGGCCGGTTTTCGGCTCCTATACTGGGTCCAACACTTTAATGAGGTGATTTGGGCTATTCAAGCCGTGGGGGCGGCGGAGGTTGGAAAAGTGGAGGTCGATGGTGCTGGTGGTGCTGAAGGGCGGCCGCCGCGGCGGCGGCGAAAAATGGGCCTGGGAATAGGGGTCCGAACGAGGGTGGAAGGAGAGGTCGAGCGGACAGTCGGAGTTTCTCGATTTCGGCCTCTTGAAGGCGTTTGGCCTTGGCGCGGCGGTTCTGGAACCAAATCTTGACCTGCGTCTCCGTCAGGTGCAGCGAACTGGAGAACTCTGCCCGCTCGGCGATTGACAGGTACTGCTTTTCGCGGAATTTCTTCTCCAGGGACATGAGCTGCTGCGTTGTGAATGGCGTCCGGGGTTTCCGGTTCGGCTTGTGCTTCCGCAAAGTGCAACGCATGGGACCCACAGTCAGACGAGGAGCACCTTCTCCACCTCCAAGAGACAGTCCTAGGAGAGAAAAATGGATTAATTACAATTTTTTGAATTTTTTTTTTTTATACAAGTTTAAAACTGAACTGAAGGAATCAAAATTATAGCTATCAAAGAGAGAAAAAGATAAGTTAAAATAAAAAGGGTAAAAAATACAAGCTGTATTTTTGCATTTTAAATGTATAGCAAACTTATTCGAATTTTGATCGGTTTTGATTGCACAAATTATTTAAAAAATACAATCTTTTAAGTTGTATTTTACATGACTTTCTGTTTCTGAATTTCATATTTTCATTTCTCTTTTGGCATATTCTGAGCTCGGAGTCAAAAGCTTCTCTTTTTTTTTGTAAAAAAAGTTATATACTTTAACCAATTATTGTCTCTTTTGGCCAGCTAAAATGTGTTTGATTACAAAATAATTTATTTTGCATTTTTTTATATTCTCTTATCTTGTTATCACTATCCTGAACACGTTATATTTGCCGAACCTTGTTTAATAACATTAGTTTTACACAATAATTACTGTGAAACAATATAATATTATGTTATCTCAAATTGAGAAGCGTTTTCCATGAAATTATTGAGAAATTATTGACTACATACAAAGAAGTGGATTTTGACTCAATATTTTCATGACTGAACCAATACAAAACTTCTATTCAAAGAGGAGGAAATAAGTTACGATATAATAAATCAAATATATTTTTTAAATAACAATTATCATTCAGAACAATCGAGATGATCTAAAGAAATTTAATCAAGTCGATTTGTTTCCTCATTGTGAAAATATCCAACTTTTGAGCTGTAGCCAGAATAAGATAATATTTAAATTTTTATTAAATGCTTTTGAAATAAGCAAAATTAAATAACAGATAAATCTTAATTGTCCTCAAAGATCTCAAATAATTTAAATCGATTTCAATATTGCAACCTTTGAAAAATCTATTTTGAATTACTTTGCTTAAGCCTACTTTCAGATAAGTTTATAAAACCATAAGGAAGGCCAGAGAGATCAATTAAGATACGCAAATTTATAAAATATCACATTATGGGAATTAGAAAATTTGCATTGAATGTCAAATGATGCATCTATATTAATATCATTTTACATAATGGAAGGAAGAGTATTTCTCACAATGAAAAACAAATTTTTGAGCAATAAAAATTATAAAAAATTTTGGCAAAAAAAAAGAATAAATAATGCGAAACTCACTGTTTGGCGATGCCTGACCAAAGTGCGGCATCCAGGTGAAAGGTGGTGCCAAAGGGAAGCCCGGCGGCCAAACGGCCAAACTGGGCGGCCGCTGGTGGAGCGCCCTTGGATGGGCGAGCGGCGGACTGGCAGGGGGGCTGCTGGGGGGGCTGCCGATGGAAATACTCGAGGTCGAGTCCGGGCTGGCCGGGGGTGCGTCAGGGCTGGCCCGGGGCTCAGGGGCAACCGACGTCGTGGTCCCTCCGAGAAGGGCGTCGACGCTGAACGAGATGCGTCTGGTGGTGGTCATCGCCGCAACCATTCCGCTCAAGCGGCGCCGCTGCACTGTGGAGGCTGCGGAGGCCCGGCACTCGGCCAGCGACGCTGCCGCTCGGCGCCGCCCCCGGGGCCGACGCCGCCCCCAGCTCCACGCTCCGCCCCTCGGCGCGTTATTTACGTCGCACTCGACTTGATTTCCAACTCGATTGCCGTGCAGACGCGTTTAATTGTCAATTAGCGCGAATTCAATTACCGAGCGAGAGAGCGCACGGAATGAATACACCTCAGGGAAAAACGACGCCTCCGTGCGAACAGAGACAACTATTATCATACTCAACGCCCCAGTGTATTATAATAAATAAATGAAAATTTAATGCGTCGACTAAGGTAGATAATTACAATTATTATTCGTTTCTTAGAACCTTATAAACTTTCAAAATGGAATCTTTTTCAATGGCAGAAAATAATTTGAAAAACTCCAACCTGCAAACTGATATGTTTTTAAATACAGCAAAAATTTTCTGAATAAATTTTTTTCTAATTTGAAATTTTCAAAGATCTCTCAAAGTTCTTGATCCAAATATCTGCTGTGCAATTTAATTGTCAAATGTAAAGCTCCAATTAATATGTACGAGTTAAATGCAGCAGTTAAAATTTCATTATCAAAATTCATTTTATGTCCACATTATCTTTTAATAATCTCTAATGTAAAATAATTTCTTGATAAGATATAAATTTAAAAAAGTAATTTGTATTTCTAATTTTGGCAGTCTATTTCTTGCGATTATTAAAATATAAAATATGCTGTGAGTTGCAACAATTTTAAATATTCGTAAATATCCATAAAAAGTCCTCTTCATATATCCTCAATACATTGCAATTGAAAAAAAGCCAGTTTTTTTATCATTAATTAATGATTGCAGGGAGGATTTTTTAAAGTAGGCGAATTTTATATACAGATGAAGCATTTGTTGCCTATTAACTCTTTTAATAATGAATTCTTAATGGCATTAGCCTATAAGCAAGTCTTTACAAGAATAGGAGCCTTTGGCAATTATTGGAAATTTAACCACCATTGTTGGAAATACTTCATTTGAATATGTCAATAAGAAACTAGCATCCTTTAAAATGGAGAAGTTATTAAAAGGATCTATTTCAGAACTCCAAGAGTGCAGGTTGCATAATACAAAATTTTTCAGCCACTAAAAACTGCTCATTCAATTCGGAGAATAATTGTTCCTTATAAAGTATGAACAAAATAAATTAATAAAAGATCAACATTTCCATTAAATTTTTTGTGAGATATTGAAATATCTTTTGATTATTATAAAAATTGATTTGTGAGCTGTTTTTTATACTAATAAAATTATAAACTGCCAACTTATCACCAAAAGTGCTACACTACATAAGCGTCAAAATATATAATTTTTTAATTATGTAATCAAATCATTTCGAATTTAATTGTAAAGTTTGCTGGCTTTGGTAAAAATCCACTCAAAAATGACTCTTCTGTCTCAGGTACAAAAAAATTTTGCACCTTTTGTGGTCTGCAGAAAAAACCTCTAAATCAACTAGGAAAAGTATTTATCTCTTTATACTTTTTCCAACACCGATCGACTCTCTCATACAGATGTTTAAGTACTTTTTCAAAACATTTTAAAAGTCATGAACGACAATATACTAACTTCACACTTATCTTCTCGCACAATGAAGAATTTTTCTCTACAAAAGACGCATTTTTCGGCACTTTTGAATGAATGAATCGCCGCTCCAGATATCACAGCGTGTTTGACCGTAAAAAATGACTCAGCGCGTCTCATTCAAGCGGGTATACGGTCTCATTGACCGGCCAATATTGTGACTTTTGCGGTGCTGAGAAGGAATTCCAACCCTCTGCGCGCATGTATGTGAATCGAATAAAGTTTTCTTCCTCCCCCGCGATATATTACCCTGTCACAAAGGACCCGCTCTCTTGAATGCGTAAAAAGCTCCTTTTTCGGCGGATCTCTCTCTCCGATTATTATTATGTATTCGACACAAAGCACCGTTTCCTCAATGAACCCGACGGTTATATTAACTCGCGCGCGAGAATGCGTATTTATATTCTCGGTCGCCTTTTTATTATGGTGAATGCAGAGTGATTCCTTTTCAATTGGCCTGCTGCTCTTTGGAAAGGGAGGAAAACTACTTCATCAAAGTTATTTTTCGAGCACGACATAAAATCGTCCTTTTGAGAAAAAGAATCTAGTCACACTTTGAATGGGATTCTCTCCACTAATCGACTATTACGAAAATTGACCTGGAGCATCAGGACAAAACGAGAAAAGCTGCTGCTGCACTCACTTGAAAATGTATATGGGGTGAGAAAAGTAAATCCTGATAAACCGCTTCAGCTGCGCCTTCTCACAAATTGGTTGAAAATAAACAATTATTTACTAAAAAAAAATTATATGGTTAGAAACGGAGCAAATCTATACCAAAAATAATTTTCTTTTAATATCAATTATCATCACCAAATATTTGTGCACAGCAAAAAAAAAATATAAAATTTACAAAAGTTTACCTCTTTTAAAATTTTTTCTGAGCAACTCTTAATATAAATTTCAAAATTTTTTCTTTAACCTTTTATTTCAACATATATAATTTTGAAAATATAACAAAAATATTTCAAATGGTGTTTATTGCATATAAATTACTTCAAATTTATTTTTGTTAAGAAAAACGAGCTGCAAATTCAAATCGAAATTACTAAAGATGAAATTTTGAGCATTAGCATTAAGTTAGACATTTATATTTGCCTCCCCTCTCTTTAGATAAACAAAGCCTCTTCTGATCTATGTGTTGATGTTAAATATAAAGAATGAGAACTTAAATATTGGCGTCGACGGCGAGATTCGTGACGCATAAATTTACAAAAGGATGAATATAAATTTCATACACGGCGGATAGAGAGAGAAACATTTATAATTTATACTGTTCTCTTCGACTCGATCGCGGTTGAGAGCCGTGTTGGAACAAAAACTTATATCATTCCGTTCGGAATTAAGCAGCTCGATATAATTGAAACATCAAAAGCAATAATTTATCGCTGCTGCTGAATAATAATGAATGAGAGGGACGTTTTAAATTAGGCCCTTTTGCGGCCGTGCTCATTGCGAATGCAGCCAATGATCGCTTTTTTGCCCCGCGACTGCTGCATAATGCGATGTGCCTCGTAATTGAATTGTTGCTCCTTCGACCCGCAATAATATCAATAACCACAGCGAGACAATTCAACGTCCACTTATTATACAATACAAGTTCAATCGGATCGATAATACGTTCGAAGGTTTCTCTCGAAAAGAATTACAAAAAGATTCAGCTTGTTCGTTAATGAGGCTATACAAAACTCGAGACTTCCAATATATGAATTAATAAATTTAAAAAAAAAAAAAAAGATTCTGGTATTGAGATTTATATAGTTCTCAACAGAGAAAGACTTTAAATTATTTGAAATTTAATTTTGCAACATATGTTTTTAAAATAAAAGGTGGTTTTAAAATTCTCCATAATATAAAAATGAGAAATTTTTTTAAGAAATTAAATTATTTTCTTAAAAATAACAAATGCCCCGCTGTCAAAATATTTTTAAATTTTAAAATAAATAAAATAGCTTTTACAGTCAAAAACATAACAAATTTTGTGGTTTTATGTTATTAAGAGAGATTTAAAATAATTTAAAAAATGCCAAGAGTGCAGCGCTTTTGCATTTGCCATGACAAAAAACGAAGTTGGACTTTTTGACAGGACATGTGTCAAATCCAAATTATTATGTTTTTTCCCCATTCTTCACATGTGCATGTGATCCTTCAGGCGGAAACCGAAAACTAACAGTTATGCGATCCTGAAAGACGGACCGACGACATTTCCATAAAAATTCCAACTATTCACGGCGGCGCGTAATTGGACTGGTCAGGGGGCGACAGGTAAACGAGGGACTTTCGTTACCTGCCGCGACTCGCGACTTGTGTGGCGAAGTTTCTTTCGTCCACTCGACTGGCCGCGGATTGTCACTCATTGTCAGCAGATTAGAGCCCTTTGTGTCAGGGTGTCCCTGAGGAATGCACTTTTCAAGCAATTTGCATCTAAATGCAAACTGTTTACCTTCCAAGGATGCATGAATTCCACAAGAAAAACGTATATAATTTCCCCTTTTATGTCTTATAAAATTATTAAATATTAATTTATAGCGATGAGTTATTCGCTCTGACTCCATAATTGACCCCTGTCTCATTGTTTTTACAATAAAATACGCGGACCGTTCTCTTTCATCTAATCCCTCTTTTCAATTATGATCCTCTTATATACTCGGCCGTTGCACGTGACCTGAATGAGATGCCACGTCAATTAACCAAGAGAGCGCCGAGTTTAATTTAATTCGCCTCCACGTCGGCCCATTAATTAGCTGCGCGGCGCGGCGGATTCCAAAGAAATGCTGAAATAAAGAGAAAAAATGACACACAGCGCACAAGAAAACCGATTAATTAATTCAAAGAGCGGCAGGTGCGCTTGCTAATTACCATATTAGCAGCGGTAATTAGGGTCCTCATCGTTAATTAGACACATTTTTTTCTAACGATGCTCCCTAATTGGGAGGGGAAATAATGAAAATTGGCTATTCTCAAAACATAGAGAAGACATACCATCATATGGCATTTTAATTTATTCTTTGCAAATGCATTTTGGTTAAAAAGTGTATCAATAAAATGAAATTACAAAACAAAAGGTTCTTTAAAATACTTTGAACGTAAGCAATCTGACATAACAATTGAATAAAAAACAACAATAATAATAACGTAACTGATAACTGATGCTCGCTTTTATAACAAATAATGAGCGTAGAAATTAAAAAAAAAAAAAATTAGTAAACTTTTAACATAATGTAAATAATAAAACATAGTCCACAAGATAAATTTCTAAGAGGCAGTATTTCTTCTCTGCGTATTGGCAATTATATTACATATTTTTACAGCGAAAAAAATCTACAACTTAATAATATATGATTTTAAAGCACATATAATTATATATACATGTAACCCCAGAGATCGTCTTGGAAAGCTGATTTTTTTTCTTGTGATAATATGATAAATTTTAAATTCGCTCTCATTTCAAATATTATTTCAAACAAGTGATGCAGGTGGTCTTGGTGATGCGTTTCATCCACGCAAGGTGCTTTTGAATGTCAGCAAAAGTGATTATTTTTTCCGCAGCGTCGCCACATTCGACACCAATGTTACTCACACCTAAAAAGCAAATTAAACATTTGTACAAAGTTGCATATTAATTAAGTTGTGCACAAACCAATCAATTTGAATCTAGAGCGTGGATGCTTTGCAAGAATAAGCGGACCGCCACCCGTGGTCTAAAAAAATTATATATATTATTATATGCCTTTTCTCAAAACCTTTTTTTTCAATTTAAAATTTTTCTGTCGAAATTTAATAATAATAAATCGTTGTATTTATTTCAAAATATCCGGAACTGCATAAATTTTTAATTATTTTTTTACCTGCTTGCATATTTTAGATTCATCACTATAATCCCTTTCACTGGCACAGAGCACAGTGGAGTGCACTTGGTTGTCGCCACATTTTGTGACCAGCACTGGTGACCGAACAAGTTCACCCCATCTGTTTGCTATTGATTTTGTCCCATGCGTTTCCAAGTCTTTCTTTTGAGTCCAACCGAAAACGGCTCCACTTTGATTGCCAGCAAAGGAAATTTCTATAAAAATGAAAAAATACATAATCACTCTTGTATATAAAGAGATAAGTAAATTAGGATTTAGCCACCTTCCGATGGTAGACATGCTGGGATCACGTTGAATGGCATCAAAAATTTGAGTAAGGCAATGTTGTTCTCAAATGACGCTGGATTGTAACGATCATGCAAAATTATTTCGTTTGCAAGACGTTTTTTCGTACCAGTGATGACAATCAAGTTTAAAGGTACACTTAAAAAAATATAGAGTACACATTAAGAATAAAAAAAAAAAATAAAAAAAAGTTAAACACGACAGAATTGCAGTCAATAATAATTTTAATTGTTCACATCAAAATCATGAGTTTTAATTTACTAAAAAAAGGTGTTCAGGACAAAACTAAAAAAAATAAAACTTTATATATTACATGATTTTTATAGATTTAATGTTTAAATTCTTTTGGTCAGCGTTAAATTGAATTGAATTTTTTTTAAGTGTGACAAAATTTCTTCTGTTTTCAGATACCAAAATCTACTCACTTTTTGAAACTGGCCACGCAGCTACCCGTGGTTAGCACATAATGTCCGTTTATGAGAGTCCCAGAGCAAAGAGTTTTCAAGCTTTTGCGCCAATCAGCGATTTGAACAACCCATGGAAATTTATTTGAGGTTGCATCCATCTCTATATAATTATGCACACTCTGACCACATTCTAAAATATCCGTTTTGAAAAAATAATCTTAAACTTTCAATAATTTTTCTTACCGCAGTCACAACCATCATAATTCCTTTTGTTGTATTCATTTTCGGGCGACTTGATTTTGCTGGGGCATTGCTTGTTGGACTCGAGTCTCTTGAACTGGTTAATGACACAATCTGGATATGGTCCGCAGTGGAACTTCGTGCGAAATAACAATAAAAAATTTAATAAATTTGTTAAAATGAAAACTTACATCTATTTTCGAATAGTCAATTTCCGCCCGAAGAAAACAACTTTGTACACTCAGAACCCCATTTACCTTCGATAAAAGTTAACGCGTTTCTAACTTTTAAATTGTGTTAAATGAACTGTCGAAGGGGTTGATTCTACTCTCCTTGAAGGTAAATTTTGACGCGCCCAAGAGTTAAATATTTTTAGGGTTCATTCTACCTCCACTAAATGTTGCAGCGTCTCTTCTTACTGGCGCGCATAGATTGTTTTTACTGTCGCGGTAGGTTGGATGCTGTTTGATGCTTCCTAACGTTTGCGTGAAGGTAAAATGATTTTGCCCAACTTTTGAGTGAAGGTAAAAATTAACATCTCATACAAGTTGATCTGTCTATCTACCTTAGCAAATATGTGTCTTTTACCTTTACATAAAGGTTAGAAAACTTAGAATTTTCATGCAATCATTGCATTTGGGTCTTTTAGAAAAATTATTTAAAAAATCCAAGATTTCCTTGCACAAAAATCATAAGCAAAAATATTTTTAAGCTGTAATTAAAAAAAAGCTTTTCAAAAAAACTGAAAGGCTAATATTGCAACGGAAAATTGTACAGTATTTTAAAATTAGTTAATTTTACTTAAATTGAGTAATTTAACATTTGAAACAATTTTAATGTAGATAGTAATTAATTTCCCACTTCAAATTGAAAGGAAATGTGAAATGACGAAATTGAACAAATTCCAAAGAACACAATATACATATATCTACAGCGATTCACATAAGCTGCAAATAAAATTTTTGCTCAAAAAATATTCGCTGCTCCTATATCTTCAAAATGGTTTTAAAATGTTATCATAGCGATTTATGTCCTGAGTTTTACATTAAATAATAAATTAATTTTTTATTGACCTATTTAAAATTCTACAAGCCAGCTGAATCACCAAATTTCCATAATAATTAGCATTTTCTCAAAACTGAAGCTCTGCTCCCGCGCAACAATTTTCAAATAATCACGTCTACCTTCATGGAAAGTTAAAAATCTGAGAAAGTCCGCCAAAATGTAGCGTCCGTTGGCTTATAACCCAATGCCGCAGAGTAACGTCAACCCAGAGTGACGGTAAATTTTACCTTCACCAGAAGTAAATCGCGGCACAGACGCCCTATGTCAGCATCTTCTGCCTCCTCATTTGAGCTCTGCGCCCTGCACGAAGAAGCACATTTCGGCGTCATCCTTAAAATTGTTTTATTTTAATCAAATTTGACTCTGAAATTCGGCTCTGAGGAAGACACTACCAGACCAACACAACCAAGAAGTTCCCTGGTAAGAAATTTTTGAAAAAACACTAGCCGATCATGACTTATTTTCCCCTTGTGTATTGTTTTAGGAGAACCATACTGCAATACAGATTGAATCTTTATTCGAATTTCACCAACCTTCGATGGAATTTTCTGCAGGTATTGTACACCTGTTAGCGTTTTAAAAAATTCCAGTAATTAAAATTGAATTTTATTATTATTTTGTTGCAGCCTGCGCAGTTGACATCGGCAATAGATGCAAACAAGACACACAAAAGGACTAAAACTGTTCAGGTAAAATAATAATTTTTTTTATTTCTTATTTTTATTTTATGGTATATTAATTTCTATAAATGAAACTAATATTTTGAACTTTTATGTTTTGTTTCAGGGGCTTAATTTCTTAGGATTTGATGATCTACAACGAACAAGAAGTGCTCCTTCTATTCAGTTTTGGCTCTTTCTGCGCAAGGAAGTGGACTTGCAAAAATAAACCAGCAGTCATAATTTAAAAAGTGCTCTCTGGTACTCTCAGTGGTCAGTTTTTGTAGATTTAGTGAAGTGTTCATGAAGAAAGAAGGTCGCCAAATTCCATCATCAAATTGGAACAAGCTATACAAGCAACAGCGTTGAATTGTAAGTTTAATTAATGCAACTTTTTATTATTGTAATTTGTTAAAAATCTAATATTTATGCCTGCAATTGTACTTGATGGTTTTCTTAAAATAAACTTAAATTTTTCGGTAAACCTGGAATATTATTTATAGTTCAAACAACCCAATAAGAAAAATAAATGTGACTGAATATGAAAGTTAAAAGTAACACTAAGCAAAGTAGCATTCAACATCTCAAGGAGTACCAACAACCACTGAGTGCGTTAAAATTTACCTTCACGAGAAATAAAAACTACTCTCAAGTATTTTAAAATTTACCTTCACGGTGAGTTAAAACTACTCTTTAGTCTGGTTGCACTGCTCTGTGTACGGTGGGAAAATTACCTTCACACAAGTGTTGGATGTACTCTATGGGAGGGTTAGAAACATTTTACCTTCATCTGAGAGTTACATTAACTCACAGGAGCTATTGAGACCCTTTTAACTTTATTTTGAAGGTAAATCCAACATTAAAAAGGTAAAAAAGGTTCTGAGTGTAAGGAAATTCCCAGAAGCAAGTGGAGGCCCGTTTTCAAATGCATTTTTGAGGCCAAATGAAAAAAGTGCCTCTGTATAAGTTTGCTGCACTAAGTTTTATTTTTCCTAATCTTATCAGCTCTCAAGTCACTTCCTAAAATCGCAAAATAATCAGTTCAGATTTAGAAACAGCCGGAAGTGAACAGCTGAGATTAGATATATAAATTTAATTATATATTTTTTTCTGACGACACGATAAACAAGACTGGGATTTAATGCGTGGCTTAATAATAGTCCGGTGCGCGCGTTCATAACTCAATTATGGAGGCAAATTGCTTTGTGAAATATTACCGGCTCGATTGATCCCTATTTGCGCGTCGCTCAGCGCCTAGTAATTTTCCGTCAAGGCGAGGAAAATTATACATGCAGCCGGCGCGTTCTCAGCTTTTAATTCCGACCGTGAAAACTTTCATTCAATTAATCGATAATTATGTGTAATTTTCTTTCCTGCAAATTAGCTAATCTTTCATATCTGTGACAAAGAGAAATATGAATTTTTGCATTCACAAATTTAAAATTTCCAATTGAAAACCATACAACTTTAATAATTTGGGGATCACAACATTAAAAAGAGCAGGAAATTAAATAAAAAATAATTTTCATAAATATAAAGTGACATTGCTCTTGTTCATATAGAGATTAATTTTTTTTTTTGAATTTTTATATTAAGTTAAACTTTGGTTTTTAATTTTTACATAATGTGCAATTGTATGTGTGAAAAGTGAAATTATTATTAGCATAAACTTAGCCTCTCTTTTATTTGATTCCATTCTTTTCAATCTTTGATCTAATTATTTCAAATCTAAGAATAATCAAACCGGAAATTGAAATAATCAGGTCTGTGCAGAGCCAACTAACTTCCCAAAATGGAAAGAAAAAACATTTTGATGATCAGATTATGTGAATAGAAACATTCTCGTTATCGTATTAAAAAGCTGTTATTCAATCTGCGCAAAGCAAAAGGAAGAGGCGACGAGGGGCCCCTTCGAGCATCCGAGCATCTGTTTTTTGCTCCCTCGAGCGTGACGCTGCGCGATCATTGACTGCCGCGCCGAGAGCATAATGGACCCTCGCTTTATTAACAAATAAATATAAATGCATTCAGGGGTTCGTCTCCGTGTTGCAGAGTCAAAAAGAGAGAGAATTGAGGCGCAGCTGCTTATATAGGTGCTATATTTATGAAATAATAATGCTCTCTCTTCTATTACGCCGGTGAAAAATTGATCTCGCGCGAACGGCGACGAAATTAATCGCGCGGAATCGAATTAAGTCATTTGGGGCAATTTGGTCCGTAATTATTGTATAGCGCCTCTTTTAATATCGCAGCGGTAATAACCGTAATTTTGAGAAGATTGCTGCGTTAAATTATGGCCAAAGAGCGCAAGATGTTTAATGTAATTACTGATACGTTTACATCAGATGAGGCTGAGCCGCCTTTTAATATAATTTTATAAATTATCACAGAGATGTTGTGAAAGTTTGGTCTCCTTTTTTTATAACGATAGAGTTTCCAGTAGAAAGTAAAAATGCTTAAATTTGGGAAATATTTTATCAATATTTTAAATAAAAGTGAAGAAAAAAAAATTCAAATTTTTAGCCCAATTAGAAATTAAAATTTTTTTAATGTGTTTTAATTTGAAATTGTTAAATTGCGTAAAAATAAAACAAAAATATATTAATAAATGCTTTTTTTAGAAAAAAAATTTACTGGTGCGAGTATTATTTGTTGGCACCCAAAACATAAACATGTGGTGGAGCTTATTTTACTCTCTTTTCGTCCGCAGCCCCGTTTTTTTCTGTTTGTTTGTGTGGAAAATTCTTAACTGTAAACCCGTTATCGCTTTGGATGCAAATCCGGCACAATTCCCAAGCGATCTTGTCAGGGGAGCAAATATTTTCCCAACAAACCGATTCTCTTTGCGCGGCCACACAGGTCGCTCTAGCGCGTGTGGATTACCTCAAAAGGTTATATGAAAAGCGAGTCAGTCAGTCCGTCGATTTTGTGTCACATGCTGCACTCCTGCCACTTTTGACAGCGGACAATAAAATGATCACAATGAGGGAGAAATTTTTTACTGCTGCCAATCTCGCGGCCGAAAAGTGAAAGAGCCAAAAGCAACGGAATTTGACAGCAGCTGATTTTCTATGGGCGAGTGCATTGATTGAGATGATGCAGAATAAACACCCCAAAATTCAGGAACGCAGGAATAAGAGAGGAGACAAGATGATTGCCTGTTTGTCAATATTGTAATTTTTCACTAACACTTGAAACTTAAAAGTCTTGGAATATTTTTAAAGAACTTATTTTCGTTTTAAACTTTCCAATAAAAAAAAATTGGCATATTCAAACATTATTTAAAATTTCTAAACATTTTTTTGAAGTAGAGAAAAATTTGTGTGGAAAAATAATTAGAACTGGAATTAAGGGCGTATTAACTATTTATGATGAAAATTGATTTTAAACGTTTGCCGAATGTGAAATTGTTAGTTTTCAAATCGAGACAATTGCTTTTTTTAATTACACAAATCAAATTTGTAATTTAGCATTGAAGATTCAAATTTTTTATTATTCGAAGTTGTAAGCTGGTTGAACTTTATTTTTATATCAGTTATTATTCTTATTATCTGCTCTTATCAGAAAAAAGAATTTAATTTTGAAACACACACCATCATATATCAGATATTCTATTTAGCTTTTCATTCAATTTTTATTATCCCGCATATATAGCTGACGTTCAAAAGACCGCATCAATTTCTAAAAATCACGAACTCAATAGGGCAGCACAGATGTGGACACATGCCGGAGACGATTATAGCTACATTAGACGATTACACGAATAAAATAAACTCCATATTCAGTGTCACAGAAACGTTTTATATATTATTATTCATTCCCCTTTGCAGTGAATCAAAGTGTGTATCCGCTACAAAGGGATGATAAAGTGGCGCGTTTTGTGCAATCGGCGCGCGAGAGGGGTTGCTCATGGAAAGTTTTCATTTCCAGCTCTCGCACTGCCAATTCGATTCAATCGAATAAATAAAGACGACGAGTGGCATTTTTACACGCTACATAATTCTCCCTAAGTGGCCATTCACGCCGAAGGGGACGCGCCATATCAAAGGGGCGGCAGGCGGGGACGGGCAGGGGTGCAGCTTACTTGGTTAAACGCATGACGGATAAATCGATTAGCGGCACCATCAAAAGCCGCGCGGCCGTGAATGAAATTCCTCCAGTGTGTCGTCCTTTCTCGTGAAATAATCGCGTTGGATTCTCATCGGAATCTCGATCCCACTCAATAACGGGGAAAAATTCACTCGACTTTCCCACCCTCTGATTCACACTTTGCTCTGGAGTTGCCCCAAAAGGTCAGATTGAAATGAAAGGGAAGTGCTCATCAGTATATCTCTTTTCATAACAGTTACCTTTTTATATCGTGACGATTTCAGTAAACGAAAGTAATTTTTTTGACGTTACAATACAAGAATAAATTCAAAATTTACTTTTAATTAAAAAAAAAAAAAAAATCAAATTGTTGTATAAAATATTTTAAATAGCGAAAACTTCAAAGAAAAATACAAACTGAACATTGTCTTCAATTATTTATATCAATTTATATGATTGTTGTTATTGTATAAATATAAATTAACAATCCATAAATTCATTTTTTTACACAATTTTAGACCAAAATCAAATTATTTAAATCCCATTTATGCTTCGTTAGTATTTTTTTTTTATAATATTTTAAATGTCGTACTCTGGATTTATGTTTTTATCTTTTTCTTTTTTGCTTCTATGATATTTGATCAACTTTGATAACACTAGTTGAAATTTCTGATTCATTAGATGCCTAATTGTATTTAATTATAAATTTCCATGACAAAAGTAATTAATTCTCTTTTAAAAGGGGACCATTGGGGAACGAGTTATTCTTGATTAAAAGCCGAGCCGACAAATAATATAAAAGCTGCCGGCCCATCAATAGGCGCAAACTAAATAAAGGTCGCTTTCTAAGGGGTTGCCGCGCCTTGCCGGGGCAAATGATGGGCCACCGGTCGGGGGGTAAATAAATCTGTCGCGCTTAATAGACCCTGCGTCGCGTTTTAATGATGTCAAAAAGAGCAGGGACGCGCTGGTGCGGAACATTTTGCAGCTGCGCCGGACAAATAATGCAAAGCACTTTATTGTTGCCATTATTGTGATTCCCTGACTGCGATGCTTCAAGGTGTCATGGCAGGACTGCCGCTTTGGCTACATAATGGTGACATGCACTAGAATTTATCAAAAATGCTATATACAAAAGTTAAGAAAAAATTAGGAATAAATTGTAAAAAAAAAATAACGGAAATATTTGTTTCTAAAATTTTTTGTTTAAAAAATATTCCATTGTTTTTAATTTTGAAAACAAAAATAACTTTTAACAGTTTTTTTTTTTTTCATAATTTATTCTTTTTCATACGGAAAAGAAGCAAATTAAAAAGTATGATTAATGTTTCTTTGAAGATA